TGGTACAGCCACTATGGAAAGGTTTGGAAGTTCCTCAAAAAGCTAAAGATAAAATTACCATATGACTCAGCAATCCTGCTCCTAGGTATATACCGCAAAGTAACTGAAAACAGGAACTCAAACAGAAACTTGTACACCAATGTTCATTGAAGCATTAGTCACAAGAGCAAAAAGGTGGAAATAACCCAAGTGTCCATCAATAGATGAATGGATAAACAAAAGGTGGGTGATCCATATAATGGAATATCAGTCAAAAAAGTGATACGTGCTACAACATGGATGAATCTTGAAAACACTACACTAAGGAAAGAAGTCAGACACAAAAGGACAAATATTTCAATATCCAAAATAGGTGAATAGACTGAAAATAGATTAGAGGTTACCAGGGGCTAAAAATAAAGGAGAAATTGGGAAGTACTGATTAGTGGTTACAGAGTTTGTTTGGGATGATGAAAAATTTTTGGAAATACAGAGTGGTGATGGTTGCACAACATGGTGAATGTAATTCATGCCAATGAACTGTGCACTTAATCATTAAAATGGCAAATTTTTTAATATATAATTTAAAAAATAATATACCAAAAACTACTGAATTGCATACTTTAAATGGGTTATATGGTATGTGAGTTGTAACTCAGACTTTTAAAAAGAATCCAATGGACTAGGGGTTGCAATGATAATCGGAAATCACTTACATCAAACAGTCCAATTTGAGAGTAAAGCAAATTACTGTGCTCATACAGGCAATGTTTAGTTGTGAAGGCAACTTGTAGTGATGTACACTGTTTCATTACATCAGACTTCTTTAATTCTGATATAATAATTTACAATAGAGTCTACGATAAAACCTAGCCCAATAACAACTATTTAAAATTAGAGGAAGAGGGATAACAAAATGGCACATATACTCAAGAGTCCACACACAACCTTTTAAAGTACAGTTGACGCTTGAACACCATGGGTTTGAACTATGGGGGCCAACTTACATGCAGATTTGTTTTTATAAATACAGCACAGTACTGTAAATGTATTTTCCCTAAGGATTTTAACATTTTTTTTTTAAAGATTTATTTATTTGAGAGAGCGAGATTGAGAGAGAGAGTACATGAGAGGGGAGAGGGTCAGAGGGAGAAGCAGGCTCCTCGCCGAGCAGGGAGCCCGATGCGGGACTCGATCCCGGGACTCCAGGATCATGACCTGAGCTGAAGGCAGTCGCTTAACCAACTGAGCCACCCAGGTGCCCGGATTTTAACATTTCTTTTCTCTAGCTTACTTTATTGTAAAAATACAATATACAAATCACGTAAAATATGTGTTGACTATATTATCAATAAAGCTTCTGGTCAACAGTAGGTTAAGTTTGGGGGAGTCAAAAGCGTGTGTGTTTTGTTGTTACTCAGGAAGTGGTTAGCACCCTTGATCTCTGTGACATTAAAGGGTCAACTGTACTTTAGATGAGTGATTCCCAAACACTAGTGTTAAGACAATGCCTGTTATGGAAACTTACACAAGCAAGGACTATGACAAGCCTGTTGATCTGAAGTATTAACTACAAATCACTCTTACTTATTAAAAGAAGGTTTTAAGTAGGCAACAGTGGCAATATTGGGGTCTTCACAGTTGGTAGGAAGCCAGGGATGGCTTATTCTCACTTCTGCTCTGGGTCTTTACCCTTATACTTACTCTATTTCCTGTGTCTTTAAAAATTTCCACAAGTTTTTACTAAACTAGGCTAACTCTCAATATCACTCACCATATTTGATTTACATTCCAAAATTATACACAAAGCCTAAAAATAATGGATACTCTGGATTATTAACACCCCCTTCCATTAGCATGGAAAACAGAAAACTGCCAGTATGGAAATTACAAATGTGTATGAAGGGTGAAGGACAGGTCAGATATTTTGTTGTCAGGTTAAAGAATGGATGGGATTTCTAATCATATGGATTAATGGGACCATAGATAACCCGAAGGGAAGTCTGGGTTTGGGTTATTTTTAGCTTAATTTGGGAGTTTTTGCTGTAAAAACAAAATACACTGTATTTAGAAGATTTGAGTAGCCTCCTGATAAAAGTTCAATGTTACCACTTAATTCAATCTGAGCATGTTTTTCCATAGAATTATCAAATTGACTGATGCATAAAGATGGAAGAAAACAAATTAAAAAAAAATCAGTCATTTGGGAAAAGACTAATTATTAATACTAATAACTAAACCAGACAGTAACCAAGACCGAGAAATAAAAACAAGAGGCATGGAGGAAGTGGTTCCATGACACTGTGAAGTATTCTATATAGAGGCACTTACTGGACTGCGGCTTTAGTTTCTCAATAGTGGAATAAAACAAAACATTACAACATGGAACTTTTCCCCAAAGGAATGTGAGGAAAAGTTTTTAAAAGAAGCCCGGACGAATGACATGAGAGGAGAAAATTTTGTAATGGCTATGAGCATCGTATGTTTTTAATTCACCAATTAGAAAGATGACCTGAAAAGAGAGGAGTATGTTGGATCATAAGAGAAAATTTGTCAGCTTCATGATTAAGTACGTTATCCCGAACGGGCCCATTTTCTCTGTAGAGAAAAGAAACCCTGCTCCGTTGTCACATACGCCAAACTTTATCATGGCCATTTGTCCTGGACAATATGTAGTCTGTCAATGCCACCAGGAAAAATGCAGCAACACTGCAGGGACCAAGCAAGCAGCAAGATGTTGTAGTCAGGACTAAGATGCAAAAGGCTTGCTTCTAGTTGTAGTTTTAAATCTATTCTTCCTGACTTGAGCCATCCATCCTTTCAAGGTCTCTATTCCCAGAACAACAGGATGGTTTCTAAGGTACAAAGATCTCTAATACCTTATATATAAAAGTAAAAAATGTCAAGAAAGAAATCAACCATGAGCTCAATAAATGCCCTGCATTCACAAGTCAGTCTCTGAGCAGAAGCAAGTTCAGGTTCAATAATTCACAAATATTAAGAGTTACCCTTAGAGCCAAAGAACAGAATTTAAACAGTTTCGCTTGGAGTTCTTCCCAAGTTACTAATACATGAGCAACAAAAGAACATTAACGAATAAGGGAGAAGATGCTGCTAAAGGAAGGCTCACTGCCAATGAAAAAGAAGGAAGAGCTGAACCTAAAACCAGGTATCAGGACACGAAAGCACAATGATGTGGGGCCAGTTGGCCTAGGGATGGACTTAAACACCTCTACTGCTATGTACAATAGGGCTCAAAACCTGATTATTGGTAATGATAGAACCCTTGGACACCAAGAAAAATTGAAACTGTTTTCTATACCCCTGCTTACTGAGGCAAGGAAACACAGTTTATGACTATGACCATTTAAGCAGTTTAAAAACCTCTGTAAAACAAAAACACAAATCCTAGCCCATTAGGGAAAGCTGCCTTTGTCAGACGACAGAAGTCACTATAAAAGCCTAGTGTTCCTCAGACAGTCAAGGCAGGCCGAAGAGAGTCCACTCTGTAAACAAGCTTCAACTGTTGTTACTTCCTTTAGAAGAACAATGAAAAGAGCCTGGTGAAAACTTCACCTAACTTTGAAGGACCCAGAATAGTTCTACAGTTGGAAACATGCTACCTGGTAAGAATGAAAGAAAACCACTATCTAAATAAAAGCCTAGTTTTATTGAGAAGCTTAAAATTTGGTTATACTGAGAAAATTCTGGCTCTACGTAATGATAAAATCAAAATTTTTATATCAAAATATTCAATCATATACTGTGCTTCAGTGTATACCACTGGTACACAATAAATACTTGGTTTATATCTTGTTCTGTGGAAGACAAACAGGGTAAGGAAGCAGTCTTTCTGCCTGGAAGGTTATTTACCCAAATCCAGGCAAATCCTGAGCTCTTCGGAGCTCCTGGATTCTAAAGACATTCATGAAAAACCAACAATAAGAAGCAAGCCATTTCTTCTGAGAGTACACATTTTTTTCAAAGCCTAAAAACCTTTCAAGATTGTGTCACAATGACCATTATCCGGAGTAAACAGACCCCTCTGGAGGCCTCTTCCCTTGGGCCTCCAAGTCTCCAGGACACGAGGTCTCTCCTATAGCCCTCTCTCAGCATGGTCTGCCTTAGCATCCAGGGACTCAAAAGGAGCGGCTGTGAGGGGCACCTGTAGGTGCCTACACCATGACGCTCAGATTGCACCAGTCAAGTGGCCACTTGCCTCTTAAAAAGCATCCTAAACTCTTTTGGTCGCTTTCATGAACCCTTATGCATGGCCACTTAGGCCGACTACCTGGAGCAGGTTGGAGCCAGACTTTTCACTATGACTCTTCACCTCAGAATCAGCCCTCAGCCTCTGGAACTCCTATTCTGCTTCCGTTCACCTTCTCTCAGCTTGGTTCCCCTTAAATTGTTTTGTTTTTCAGCACTCTAAAGGGGAAAAATATTTTCTAAAATGAAGCTGGCAAAAGCTTCAAAACATATGGCAGACAAGATGCCTACAAACCAAATACAGGTATCTCCACTCAATTATAGGTGACAACCATTTATTATAGCACAATGCAGAATGTCTTTGGGGAAAACAATGAGAATAAAGACCATAACCTTAAGAAAAAAAAGAAAAAACCACACACAAACCCACATACCTAAAATGGAAGCCTCCTGAGAGGAGGAACGCCAAGTTTCCATCTACTCTTGGGTCAGGCTTAATCTTTGAGAGTACAACGATGGCCAAACTAAGCTGCACATTACCATGGGGAGTGACCAGGTTAAATCAGAATAAGACACTGCCAGGTATTTTGAGCATTACAGTAAAAGCTGGAGAAGAGCAAAGCATTATTCGGTAGTTTGCACATCTGACCACAATTCAAGGAAAAATCTCTTTAGATGGCTGATTAAATGGATGAATCCCTCCTATTAGAATGAGCAGTCATATTCCCTCTAGTGATTTCCTGTCCAAAGAGGTTCTACTGCCTCCCACCACCTCACAAGGAAACACCAATGATTACGTCATTACTACTTACATTCAAAGCATTCTTTGCAGCTTCTGCTTCTGAGCGACTGTCAAAACTGACAAAACCTACGGGCTGAGGAAAGAAAAAAATATGAAGAAAAAACAAATCAGGAGATAATCTATTTTTCTGGGTCAAAGGTGATGTCAAACCGAAGAGCTAAGATAAAGAAATGACCACAGGCAATGGGTAGAAATAAGAAAGCCAGTTCAAAAGAATCATGACGCAGTGGCTTAGCCAAATTTCTAACATGAATCAAAAGGGATTGTGAGGGTGGTTCTTCAAGGGCACAGCTGGGGATTTAGAGAATCATAAAAAAAAAAAAATCTAGAAGGGGTTGGAAGGTGAGCAGCAGTGAACAAGAGAATAGAGGAAAACTTGGGTCGAAAGGCTCTACTTTCCTAAATCAAATTCACTGTACCTCAGTTTCTTCATCTTTTAAAATGGAAAGAGAACCGAATCACCTTTTGGTACACTGTAAGTGCAAGGAATACAATGACACAATGATAAAAGCCCTGTACTCTCACTGCATGATCAAAATTATAAAATGAACATTTCCATCTCAAATCCCAAGGGATACGTTTAAAAAGTCCTGTGTTTAACTAGGTGTAAACCAAATTGTTCCAGTTCAAGAGAGAGGGGTGATAATCCCTTTGGACTCAAATCTTGTAGTCCAGAAAGATGCTTGCAACATAGTTTATTCCTGATGAATCAAAGAATACCTTACTGAGAGATGAAAAGCGACTGAGAGGTGAGCATGCTGGGTATTCAGCATTTGGGGGCGGGGGGACATATAGCCAAAAGTTTCAAGGAACTTTTAGAAACTATCAGGGTCATTGATTACCATTCTCCATTCTGCACCTTCTGTGCTCCACCCTAGACTTGGGACTCTGCCGGTGGTTATTAGAAGTTTCCCACACAGCATGATTCTTCACCAACAGATACTTACACTGAGTGTGAAAGTTTGCCTGTTTAAAACCTTATTTTTTTAAAAAAGGAAGAACTGGGAATAAAAGTGGGTTTGGAGGATTTCTTTTGAATATACAGACCAATCCCAATATAATCATGCTGGATGCATTATGTTTGCCATTTGCCTTCCTCAGGGATAGTCTCAGACATCCTAGCTGGAGACAATAGAATTGTGAATCATTTTCCTGTGCTAATTCCTAACTAATCTCATACTTAATTTTAAATCAACAACAAAAATTAAATCCTAATGAGAATTATAAAGGAGAATGCTGAGACCCAGTAACATTCTTGAAGAAAGTCAATTCAAATTTATTGTGGAAGTCATCATTTTATATGCAAGTTTGAAATTCTTACCTGCTTAGATGTGAGCTTTATAAGAGAACCCTCGTAGCCCTGAAAATTAAGAACCAAATTTAGACGAAAAAAAATTACTAGGAAAAAAAAAACTGTAATAGCATCTTGCTCAAGTAAAATGAGTCCGTTATGACTACTGACTAACTCTTCTTACAAATGCCTCGAGGTAACTGAGAAAGCAGATTTTATAGACGCATGCACGTATGCGCCGATGCTCCCATCCTTAAGGCCTAAAACAAATCATACCTTGAAATTTATGCATATATATCTAGGTTTGTTTTCCCTTTTTTCATGATATCGTACAACAGTAGGAAAACGGGTTCCTCTGTCAACAGATCTTTCTCATTTTACAGAACTAGGAGAATGAAGGGAGTAAATTTAATAAGATAGGAAGATAAGTATGTGAGGACTTGGTCATGTGTTTGCTATAAGATAACATTAAAACATTCAGAATGTCCTACACAGAACTTATTACTCGAAATTTCAAAACTGCCAGGAAAAGTTACACAGGTAGTGATACTAAATTCTTTTGAGTTATTCTGCTTACTTATTGAAGCAGCTAGTTTTCATGTTGGTACTCTGATTGGGACATACAGAAATTCCCTGTTGGGTTCTTACTCTGGCCCATCGTCAAGGAGGATAGAAACCCCTCCCTTTTCACTCCCTCCCTTCACCCCTCCTGGCTCCTGAGGATAAGGGTAACAAAGTGTGTTTATTTCTGAAAATCATCCATGGCTGATGGCTTGCACTGATGGATGACACAAGGGGAAAAACACCACTTGACATGATTGACCACTGCACAGATCAGTGCCAAGACAGATTTGCAGACTAGGGTCAGCCTCCAGGGACTTTAATTAAAAGAGGGTTGTTAGGAATGTACCAGGGTCCTGACTCTTGCGTTGGGGTTTCTGCGCAGGATGTTGGGATTGATTCATCCTCCTATCTTCCCAGCAGAGAACTATGTTACCAATTAGCTACTGTAAACATTTTACCTCAAAGACCTTGAGCTCTTCTGGCCAGAGGGGTCATGATTCACAGCCCTGCCTTTTCCTTTTTCAAGGTGCTTTCTCTCTGAAAAACCTGGAGGTTTAAACACCCTGAAGGCCTCAGAGGAAAAGGACAAATGGGTATTTCACTCAGGTACAACACCACTGGTAGCAATATATTGTGATCTCTAACCATGAACAGAAAAGTAGTATCACAGACTACTTCAGAACACAGATGGCGGAGTCAAGATTGCTTGGGTTTGAATCCTAGCCCTGCCATTTATTAAGTGTGAACTTGAGCAAAATTTATTCAGTTGCTCTAAGTTTCATTTTCCTCATTTGAAAAACAGAGGCCAACCCACTTTAAAGGGTTATGATAAAAATTAAATGGAATAATTCATATGAGGGGCCTGCTGGCTAAATCTCCAGTATTTTGTCCATTAGTAAGATCATTAAAAAGTCCACAGCCTATGAAAGGGACAAATAGTAAAAATGGCAACCCTGCAGAAGATACTCAGGAAATTCTATGAAGCTGATACCCCCCCCACCCCCAACATTTTTCTTTCCCACTTCCTCTCAGCTGACCTCATGTCTAACCCTTTTGTTTCTGTCTGTATAGTCATCATTCTTACAGTAAGGGAATGGCTATTAGAACAGAGGCAGGTCTATTACATGGTGACTTACTGGCACATAAGCTAGATTCTTAGCTTTGCTGGCTTTTAACTAGCTGCCCCTTCCACCTTCTTCCTTCCTTTCCTACCCAGCTGTTTTCAGCTGTCACATCTTACTCTCCCTCTCCTTGAAAGGCTAGATCCTGTCCTTCAACCTGTCTTGCCTCTGCGGCTAGGGTCCTGCTTCGACAGGATGGATCTTTAATCATTAATCAAGATGGTCTGCCACCTAATCGTAAGTGTGCCCCCAGCCAGGCACTGCCGCTACCATGTTCTCAGGGACCAGACACAAGCCCTGAATTTATCACGACTTCCAGGTGTTCTCCCTGAGGGCCTAGGCCTCCAGCCCACAATCCACCCAGTCCCAGCTTTCTCTGATTCCCCACAGGTTAGCCTTCAAGATTTCTCCTTGGCAGCATGGTTATTTCAGCTTTTGTCCAATTTTCTGGTAAGTTTTCAATTCTAGCAACATTAAATATCTCAAGTGATTTTTATCTCAATAGTCCCAATGGACAGGGAACTGAATTAGGTACTACACTATGTACCAGCATAACAAGTAATTCCTTAGAACTTCGTCTTACTTTGTTTGAAATTTAGGACATTTTTTCCACAGAAAAAGTAATGGTGGTTAGGTTCTTAGTCTAGTTCATGAAAGTGTAATTAACTTACGTATCCAAAAAAATAGTATTAACAATATTTCAACTAATAAGAAACCTTGTAAGTATAAGCCTTGACTTCTGTTATTTCACTGGAAATATAAATAACAGTAATTGATAGTATTTTTGGTGAGCTGTACTCAGAAGAATACTCCCAACTGGCAAACGATAAACAGGGAGGACACTAAAACTGTTCTCAACAGAGCCAGATGCATGTCCCCACTATTAGGAAGAAAAGAGACTTATCTATATTAGCTATTGGGGAGGGTAAAAGGCAACTTCAGTCTTTCCTGAGACCACACACTGGAACTGAGTTGTAAATCTCCTTTACTAACTATCCTTTTTTAAAAAAGGTTACTTGATAAGATGCTTTCTCAAACGTATTTCTTCCTGCAAGAAGCCCCCATGAAGCTTATTTATACACACACTTTTTGTCTCCTTTTATAATTTCTGAAAGAGAAAAGGTACCTTAAATGGTCTGAAAAGCAGATAGAGCTCCCGAGGTTTGATATCCAGAGGGAGACCACTGACAAACAGGGTCCGGACCTGGAAAATAAATATGAGAAGTGATCACAAGACTGCAAAATCTAAAGAACAGCTCTCACTTGTAATCTCAAAAATACGTGTCTTCATACATTTCACAAACCCTACCTAATTCATGTTCTTTCCGTAACCCAATGAACACTCTATGTTAAGACGCCATTAGACCAACTCTTGGATATTTCTATGGGATTACTCAGAATGAATTACCTCTAGCTGATTTTAAATTTACAAACGGATTAGTCATTAACTGGTTCTGATACTATGAAGGGAAGAGGTCTACATAGTTAAAATATCAGCTTAAGAAAAAAAAAGTCACGAGAACAGTAAATCTACAGCTTCTCTGCTCTAAATCAAATGAACATAACATGGTTCAAAATTAAATCAGAACAATTTTTGTTTTTTCCTGCTTGTTTTGTCCTTGCTTCCCTCGGCATTAATAATTACAGTCATTTTTAAAAGCATCTTATTTTTAAGTGATCTCTACACCCAATGCGGGGCTTAAACTTACAACCCTGAGATCAAGGGTCACATGCTCTGAACCAGCTAGACACCCTGATAATTTTACTACATGTAAAAAATAATTCAAACACATCTAAATAGTAGCCAAAATGTAGAACTCTTCATCTGCTCAGTTCCAAAACAGCAGGGAAGACCTCACTGACCTATAACCCGAAAGGCCTAAGATATAAATTATGTGATTAGTGTCTACTAAAATGGAGAACACACATGACACACTTCCATTTGGGAGGATCAGAGAAAACATGTTAGCATTTGACTGGGAACTTAAAGGATAGGTAAAATTTCACCACATGAATATAAAAGGTGAGGGGGAATTGGAAAAGACTCAGAAAAGCATTAACCAAGGCAGTGAAGGAGGTGATAGCACAGTATATCCTGGGAGAAGGAGAAGCCAAAACCGAACAAGTAGCTGCGGATCCAACTACAGGGGGACATCACAAGTCACTGGCTCAGGAATCTGGTCTTCATTCAACAGGCCAGGAGAAATCACTGAATTATCACCACCATGTCTTCTTTCTACTTATTTTAGTTTTGTGTGCCTTTAGTCAAGTTTCCTAACCTTCCCCCTCCAAACTTTGAAATATAATGGACATTTAACAGTAAGTTTAAGATGTACGATGTCGTGATTCATTATGCTTATATATTACAAAATGATTACCACCATAGTGTTAGCTACTGCCTCCACTGTGTCACATAATTAACCATTTCTTTTCTGTGGTGAGAACATTTAAGATCAACTCTCAGTGACTTTTGAGTATATATAATACAGTATTGTTACCTATAACCACAATGCTGTGCATTAGATCCCCATAACTTACTCAGCTTCTAACTGGAAATTTGTAATCTCTGACCAACATCTCATTTCCTCCATCTTGATCCCCTGGTAACCACCATTCTACTCTGTTTCTAGGAGTTTGACTTCACCCCCACATTTTCTACTCCTCTTTTCTACTCCGGCTGATACAACATGATTGAGTTCCTCATTAGAAATCATTTTGCTACCTCAAGAAAAATTCAATGCTCAATTGATAACAGTCTATAAATCTAGATTTTTCCTCAGTGTGAAAAGGGAGGTCTTCTAGAACCCTAACGCTTTCCATTGATTCTGGTTGTGAAGAAGCACAAATCAGCAAGCAAGGCCCTTGTACTGATGCAGCATACAGTAAAAGGTCGTGCCATCTGCAGACAGGTGTAGATAGATTTATTGTGCTATAATTGATATACAGTTGACCCTTGAACACAGGTTTGAACTATGTGGGTCCATTTACAGGCAGATTTTCCCAATAAATACAGTATAGTACTGTAAATGTATTTTTCTTCCTTACGATTGTCTTAATAACTTTTTCTCTAGCTTATTTTATTGTGAGACTACTGTGTGTAATATATATATAATATACAAAACCCGTGCTAATCAAGTGTTTGTTACTGGTAAGGCTTCCAGTCAACAGTAGGCTATTAGGAGTTAAGCATTAAGGGAGTCAAAAGTTTTATGTGGATTTCTGACTGTGCAGGAGATCAGTGCCTTCTAGTCCCCACATGGACCTAGGGTCAACTGTATAATGAACTGTACTTTTTGTTTACAATTTAGTTAAGTTTTGACAATCGTATAACCTGAGAAACCACCACAACAATCAAGATAATAAACGTACCTACCACCTCCAAAAGTTTCCTGGCACCATGGTTCTACCATCCGCATTCCCAGGCAATCACTGATCTGCCATCTGCCACTATTAATTAATTGGTATATATGTTCTAAAGGTTTACACAAATGCAACCATAAAGTATTTATTCTTTTTGTCTGGCTCTTTTACTTTTGTATAACTATTTTGAGATTCATCATCCACTGTTGCATGTATTAATAGGCTACTCCTTTTTATTGATTAGTATTCTGTTGCATGGATATACCACAGTTCATTTATCCATTCACCTGATGGGACAACATTTGGGTTATTTCTAGTTTTTGGCTTTTACAAATTAAATGGCTAGGAGCATTCATTTATCAATTTTACAAGTCTTTGTATGGATATATGTTTTCTATCTTCTTGGTTCAATACCTAGGAGTGGAAGGGCTGAATGATATGGTAGGTATATGCTTAACTTTTAAAAAAAACTGCCCTTCAATTCCTTGTTTTAGGGCCCAGAACATGATTTAAATGCTGTGTACTTAAAAACAAAAGTGTAACACAAAAATAGACTCCAAATGGTTGAAAGACCTAAACGTGAGACAGGAGTCCATCAAAATCCTAAAGGAGAACACAGGTAGCAACCTCTTCGACCTCAGCCGCAGC